TTTCTTCTTGAAAATAATTATCAGAATATCTAGAAATGGTCTTTTAACCCTTCCCAGATTAATGAGGAGCAACAATTCCTGAAAAGGAAGATGGGGTCTTTCCATGAGTTTCAAAAGGAAAAATGTGCTTTAAGGTTTCCTTATGACTAACAATGATTTTCTTTATTCCTGTAGGCGTTCAAAGACTGCTCCTGTTAAGATCTTCCTAAAAAAAACTTCCCTAAACACACAGCTGATGTTGGGAAGATGGTGTGCTTTGTAAGATATATTCCCTTACCATACATACTGTGGCAGCTCAAAATGCTTCCAATTAGACATAAAACCTCGAGCCTCAGTCTTAATATTGACCAACAGATTTTTATAGTTGTTGCGCTCCGTTTTGGTTCTGATCAGGCCCACTTTGGGAGCGCCACATTAGCTTCAAGCTGCCACCAGAGTAAGAAGAGAGAAATTTTTATGTTTTTTTTTTTTAACCTCTCTAAGAAGATTACCCAGGGAGGGGTGAGATGGCAGTCAGGGTGTTAGAGAGAAGACAAGAGGAGAATGGAAGATGGAGCGGAACTAAAGGAGGGCGGCCCTGGATGCACAGTTAGCCACCTGTTGTCACTCGTCTTCTTCTACTGCCTCTGTGCTTTCGAACACAGTACAGAGTGGTGGTTTCCTGCCACAGTAACACTTTTTAAAATATTCAGCAAAAAAACAAAAAGCTGAGTGAAGTGATTAGTCATGAGTAAACCCTCCACTTCATTAGCATGTGTGCGTGCAGCTGTGAGGCTGATGGTGCTCATGCTTCCCTCTCCTCTGAGTTTCCTGCTGGTGGTTTCCAGGAGGGCTTTGATGTGTATCTGAGCAATGCGCTATTAGAGGGATTTCCCCAGGCCTGACAGCTCAGAGAATATGCTGTGAAATGGCAATGCTGCCGGGCTAAAAGAATGCTGGAAACAGGATTAGGATCATATTCTGGCAGACCCTGTCACTTCCTCAATGGACCGAGGTTTCCAACGCTGGCACTTTTCCATTCTCGCTCTGGTTAAAACCTTTAAGAGAACCATGGAGAGGAGGGAGGAAAAGCACTGATTGAATGGTACACTGTGATTTTTGTGTGGAGCTCTTGATCCGAAAGATGTGTGTGTGTGTGTGTGTGTGTGTGTGTGTGCGCGTGCGTGCGTGTGCGTGCGCGTGTCTGAGTATTTGAGGAAGAGAAAGTCAAATGCAGCAAAAACACGGCAACCTGTTGGTCATGTGCAAAACACTAGCTCACTGTTCACTCTGCTGCGCAAAAATATTTGTACATACTTTGCTTTGTGAAAGGACGAAAGAGTTTAACTGCCAGAACCTGGAAATAAATTCAGGCGCAGCGCCTCTTTTAAACAAGAAAAGTTTATTTTTATATCAATATGAAAAAAAGCCCTAAAAATGAAATAGAAATAAATAACATAAGATTTATATCTCATTACAACCAAAATATTTTCTCTTTTAAATAATAGTCTAAAACGGTAAAACAGCAACACCTCCTGGATTTTTAGGTGTCATTAAAAAAAGAAACTATCATTTTAACAAAATAAACTTATCTCGCTAAAAGAACATTTCACCTTAAAACGAGAAAGTTTTTGTTATAACAAGACATTAAACTTGTCTTGTACTGTGAAACTTTCTGGGCTTAGCAAGTTTTGCATCTCAGGTTTTCTCAATTTAATGAGAAACTTTCTCATTTTCATGAGAAAATGATTCATTCTTAAGCTCTAAAGTTAAACACTCCAATACAAAAGTATTCACAATCCTGAAACATTTTCACATTTTGTGAAGTCACAACCACAAACCTTATTGTGTTTTATTAGGAATTAATAAATTCACAAAGTAGTGCAATCATTTGGACTGATGGCTTTTCAAGATTTTTGCAAAAATCTTGCAGCCAATTGCATTCAGAACTTCTCCAACATACCTGAATCAAATGACTGAATAACCTCATCAGCATGTTACCATGTTCAGCAGAAATCTGGTAATGATGCATTCATTAGACTCAGGTGAGTTGCAGTAGGGATGCATCTAGTAGTTGGAGGAAACTGAAAACTGAAGTTTGGAAAACCTTGAGACTGGGATAGAGGTTCACTTTCCATCAGGACCAAACCATCCAGAGCTACAGTGGAACTTTAGGGAAAACTGTGTGCGAATGGCACAGTCAAAGTCCAGACTTAAATAAAATAGATATTTTGTCAGAAGACTTTAATAGCAGGTTCACAAACAGTTTCCATACATTCTGACCAAGATTGAGCAAGAAAAGGTAAAAGAAAACAAGAGTCTGTAGATATGTGAAACTGGTAAATACACATTTTAGAAGACTTGTTTTGTAAACTGTTTCTACTAAGTACTGACTTTAGAAGGTTGAATGCAAATGCACAAGTTTTATAGGTTTTTATTAGGAAACCATTTGACACATTGAAATTTAGACTGTCAATGCAACCATATGCAAAAAAAGTTCAGGGGGTAGTAAATATTTTTGCAATACAGTAAATGCATTTCTATTGACCACATAGTTACACAATTTGACATGTTGAAAATAAATTTGCTTAATGAAAGCTCAGCAATTTCAGAAAAAAAAAATTGATGAAAACGTTTTATTGATGGGTTGGGGTGAGTTTATGGTGGTATTTAAATTGTTTTATTTTGCAAAACTGCAATGGAAACACTTTGTTTTCACATCTCAAGTCACATGATCAACAACCGGCTGTTACTTCTGATGCAAACCACGAAGAAGAAGAAGGAAGTAGTTTCAGGATGAAGCTTTTTAATGACTTATTGCGTGAACAAACTTATTTGCAAGGAATTTTAATTGTGTTTCTTATTAAATGGAAACACCACAATTGCAAAATTGTGTTGTTGGTTTTGTCATTATCAGAATATTAATAACATTTTGCACCTATTTGTAACAGAAACACATCTACTGTAATGCTCTTGTCTTCCTAGATTTTACCTGCATGCAAACCAGTTTATATCCTCTTCATATTTTTTTTCCCAGTATTTAGTGTCCACTGGATCAAAGTAGATGGAGATGCATGTGCTTCTGTACACACTGTACATGGTGGAGATGATGGAGGTTCATTCAGAGGCCTGAGTGTTAGAGATTGAAGCACCTGATCCAGCAGTGAGGCTCAACACACTTGACCCTACAGCAGTACAATCAAGCAATCCCTGTTCAACCCCTGGGGGGTGTGCGTGCGTGCGTGCGTGCGTGTGTGTTTGGGGGATGGGTGTTAAGAATAGAGGGAACATTGTTATGTTCTCTGCTCCAGATCCCCATGGGAGAAAATCCTGCCATGTACCTGAACAGATTCCTCCTCTGGATAACAAGGACATACGCTTCAGATATACATCCACACTGCGGTCCTATCAGTCACACAATCCGGACGCCCTTGGCTGAGGACACACACACACCCGCACACCTGCTTGTGGTGTAATAAAACACAACAAGGTGAGGGTGAGATGTTACACCAATGTTAATGCTGCTAATCTGGTGAGTTCATTATCCTCTTCTATCCGATCTTTTTGGGAAGGACTCGTTCATAACCGTCGCTAGAAGTAACCCAGCTCAGCCGCAGAGGTAAATTAGTCATTTACACACACACTGAAGGGGAGCAATGCGCTTAAGGCTGATTAAATTAGCAGCACAACAATGTCCCACTGCTACAATAAGGCACTATTATGGAAAGTTTACTACAGAGGAGCAAGGTTACTGTTTTAGATGCTGTAAGGTGCATAGTTGTATGTGTGTGTGTGTGTGTGTGTGTGTGTGTGTGTGTGTGTGTGTGTGTGATGTGGTGGGCGGTGGTCTGTACGTTTTGACAAACCATCCTGTTAAAGATATAATAGCAGCATAATCACCGCCCCAGGCCGTCATTCTTCAGGATAATGGCCTTCCTATTCATTGGGGACGCATTGCATCTCAGCCCCCACTTTTTTTTTTTTTTTTTTTTTTTTTATTTTTAAATCTGAATCCTATTTTCTTTGTGCACATGATGCACATTATTGAAAATGTTTCATATCTTTTTCTGCTCTTACAGAGTTTTTTCAGGCGATTAACAGTCTGTGCTTCTGTTTGTTTGCTTTGACCCGCTGATATATATTTAAAAACATTTAGAAATATTTTCAGGCTTTGCTGCTTTAGATGTTTAATTATTTAAAAAAGTCAAAATTATCATGAAGCTGACCTGTAAAGCTGGATGTTACATTTCTTATTAGCCATTACCTTATCTATCTGTATTCTATAGAATAAGAATGTAGATGCTTTAGCTCTAAAAGGTAGAAAAAAAACTGTCAATATTTCCAAATCCAGCATGTTTCACAAACAGACTGAGGTTGAAGCTCAAAAATATAAAACTGGGCAACTTTGCTGTTTTCTGTTTTCTTTCTGTTACTGAAGTTTTCATTTCTGCTTAAAAGTGACAGTAAACACAATTTCATCTCAGTTCTTCTTAAAAATTTAACTTTTAACCTGTGTGTGCTGATTTAATTCATGAGGAACCTTAGTGATGATGAAAATAAGTAACCTTCTTCCTCCCTTAGCAACAACTTCCCATCTGGCCAACTGATCAGGACATGTAGCTATGGATTATCATCTTCGAGATGTTAGCATGTCATGACAGTCATGAGGCTGGCGTACAGCAACAGTCTTCAGTCAGAAGCTTCTTCAGATTTGTTGTAAAACTGACTGCTACCAGGGATCCCTTCTGGCCACAGCATCACCACATGCAGCGACTCTTTACACATACTTGGATGATACTTACATTTAATTTCCCCTTGAAAAGAAGTATTTTTGAATTGAAATGAACAATCTCAACATTTTAATTGAGTGACGGATCAATATTGAGATATAATATTGATTATAAAGTCACAAAGCAAAATATTAAAAGACAACTACGTTTTAAACTGATTCAGTTAGAATACAGCTGTGAGCGCCCCCATGTGGTGTAAATGTTCTGTACAAAACATCGCCACTACAGATCTCCAAGCAAAGCTTTTATTTGCAGTTACTTTACAACAACACTAGTTCAAGTCTACATTATTGGGAGAAGCAATAGAAACATCTATGCAGATGGTCCTGTCCTTCTCTCCTCCTCCATCAGAAATCTATTCATCACTTAAACCAGCAGGATGGACAGAATGGTGAGAGGACAGCATAAAAACGACAACAGAGTCCATACAGGGCGACACAACGGGGCTTGGCTTATTTATGCTATGAAATCTTATTCATAATTATGTTTTTGTTTTTTCTTTTGCTACTTTTCACTCCAGACCCATTGCACATGAACATCGTATTTGTTTATGTGTTTTTATTGATTCCCAGAAGTAAAGATGTGTATATCTTATGAATAACTTTCAGCAAATATCACATTAAAAGCTGGCAGCCAAAGTCCACCATCAGTTATACATCATGATAAGGAGCTTTACATTACCTTACAAGTAAACATTAATAGATAGACCTTTTATGTATATCATATTTAAAAAATAATGTGCTTTTTTTTTACATTTGAAGAAAGAATCTTGCAGCACACATGAACTGAAAGTGGAAGAAAGACATGAGAGACCTAATTAAGTACTTACAGTCAGTGTGGCTTCAACACAATATGAGGGGGAGGAGAGTTTTTCCTTCTTTCTCTTTACACAGGATATCGCTGAAGTCAAGGCAAAAATCATGTTTGAGGTTTCCAGAGTGCGAGCTGCTTAGAATGGTATGCATGCTTATAATTGCATTTGCCCCAGCTCCCTCAGCCCTGGGCCAAATGTAATTAAAAGCTCTTAAAATTTAGTCACTGAAATAATTTTCTCATTATCAGGCCAGCGTCTGCAGAAAGCAGCACATCACCGCCCATTTAACTGGGAGATGAGTCGCTTTGAACGGTGCTGCTGGGTTTAGATGTCATCACCGTGTTGGGCCGTAGAGGACTTGTGCTCAGGCACTTTACAGATAATTTTTGTCACTATTGATTTACTGTATCTTCCAAAGTGCTTTTACATAAGTAAAAGAATACTATGAATAATCATAGTATTCTTCTAAACATCGTCACAGAAACAGAGCACATTCACCATCAGTTGTTTACATCCTTTTCAGAATTGTTCAGTATATTCACATTTCACATCATAAGTCAGTTTGAAATGTGTTTCTTGTCACTTGGACTGTTGCCCCTTAGTGCATCATGTTCAGTATTATACAAGTTGTATTATTGTTGATATTTTTACAGAAGGAATTACTTTTGGACGGCAGGCTGCAGCAGAAGGTGCGAGGACATGAACATCTCACCAAAGGGGACAGTTTGGGATTTTGAAGAGAAGTTCTGCTGCGAGGTTAGAAGCAGTTAATATCTTACCTGTAGTTTACCGAGTTTAAATTCCTTAAATGAGGTGACATTTGATGTGAGTTTGTGCAACATAGATAATCTGAATTTAGCAAAAATCCAGATTAGTTGGTACTGGAGGCTGAAGCTAACGGCTAGTCCGTCAGGAGGCGCGGTAAAAGCAGAGCTCTACAGTCTGAAGACAACTCTGATCACAAAAAGCATCACATAAGAATCCTTTGTCTTCTGTTGGAAAAGCTAAATATGTTGCAAATTGGAGACTGTGACATTTAATGGGATTTCTGTGTTTCTGTGTGAAATGTTCTGCAATAAAAAAAATCTAGAACAAAAGCTCTGGTTTATCAAAGTATTTAGGCTTCTTGTTAAAACGAGAAACTTTCTCATTACAATTCGTTGCAAAAGTTTTTTGTTATAACAAGACAAGTTTTATATCTTCCTAAAACAAGAATGTTATGAAAATGCGCTCCTCTGACAGTTTACACCTTGTTAGAAGTCATAAAGGAGCTCACTATGACTCTCCCTCTTCTCACTGTTTCTCCTAGAAAACATCTTAAAATCCTGAGGTGTTGCTGTTCTACTAATACATTATTTTTTCAACCATATTTTTGTTATAAGATGTAGATCTTATTATAATGAAATATTTACATATTATATTTAAATGTCAATTTAATTCCAAGTTCAGTTAAGTTAACTAAAGTTGAAGAAAAAAAAACACCTATGCAATTATTGTTCTGTTTTATTTAATTGTTTAATTACTTTAAAGTAATCATTTAAAATGCAACTATTCAATGAAACATAACAGAAAAAGAGTTTCTGCTCAGAGTGGCCATCTAAAACAAAAGAAAAACAGCTTCAAAAGCAAAAAATAATTGTATAATTAAGGGAAATCTATTTAATGGATTTTACAAGTTCTGTCTTGCCTTCCTGTTGGGTGGCTATTCTGCTTTACATCTTCTGTTCTCACTGTGAGTTTCACACACAACTTCCTCCCTCCACTTCCCATGTAAATAATCAATCAATAATCATTAATTAATTATGTTCATGGGATTATTATTATGGATAAATAACAGCTTAAAACATATGTGAGAATTGTTTAAAGGTTCGAACGTGTGTTTTCATAAAGGACTGCTTTAAGATGTTTGAATAGCTGTTGGCTTCAGCTAATCTGGATTTGTACTAAAGAGAGCAAAGATGCAGAGAAAAGCCTGGTATTTATTTCTGGTTTTCTTTTAAGTCTGACATGCAAGTTCTGATTTCGACTGATTCCAACTTTTTATCCTAAGAACTACTTTTAAACAAGTGGATCACAGTACATGTTGTGCGTTCATGCAGTTGAAGGCCAAAACAATTCTTAGTTTTCTTATTTTTATTGAATAAAAAATATATATATCAAACACCGATCAGAGCTAGTCAAGGGAAAATTAGCCGATTCCCAACTCTGACCGACTGATTGGTGCATGTCTATTAGAGAGTTATCCTCTGCTAGAAGGTTATTAACTGCTTATGTCATCTTAACAAAAGCTCAGTTCTAAAAATCCCAAATGACCCGTTTTAAGTCTGATCTTCCTCGGTCCGAACCCTCCTGGCAGGCTTACCGGACCTCTGCATGGGTGCTATAAATCTATGACAGTCACACAGACATACAGCAGGATGTGTAGGTGTGGTGCAGGTGGAGCTTCTCGCCTTACACACAGAGCGTCAGAGCGTCTCGCCAGAGCGTCAGTTGGACAGCGTGTCCAGTCCCAGCGAGGCGGCGTGCTGCTTGGCCCTCAGACGCAGGTTCTCGATGCTAGTGGTTTTGCTGTTGTGGCTGCTGAGTCCGCCTGCAGCTGAGGCCTGCAACAGCGGGCTGCTCCACACCTGCTGGGCGTGATGGGACAGAGACTGGTAGTAGGACTGGCAGGGCAGGGAGCCCAGTGGCGCAGGGGGCATGTTCACGTTCACTCCCAGGTAAGGGAGTGATGACGGGGCAGTGAGGTCAAAAGCTGCCGGGTAGGGCACCAGGTTGTTGGTGGCGGCCATGTGCTGGCGAAACTGCTCCTGCAGGCGAAACAGGCTGAGGGGGGAGGACGAGTAAGAGTGGCTCTGAGAGAGAGGACCTGCACCGGCCAGGCCGCCGGAGGACGAGGAGGGCGTTATGGACGGAGAGACCAGGGGGGAATCTGCACAGAGAAACAAGTTCTCATCAGTTTAACAGTCACTTCCTGCTGAACACTGGCTGTATTTCTATTAAACACAGAACTGCGCAAATTGAAATTACTAAAATAAATGTTCTTAATGAAAACACATTTATTTGGGAAAAAACCCACGTTTTTTGATTAAACAGATTTTGTGCTATGATGAGGTGGTTTTTCAGCCATATTGAAATACATGTATTTTGAAAAACTGCAATAGAAATTGTTTTTTGCATTACACAAGTCACATGATCAACAGCTGGATGTTACTACTGGCGAAAACAACAAAGAAGACGTCAGAAAGTAGTAGGAGGATAATGGAGGCATGTTTTTTAATGATTTATTGCAGTAAAAAACTTATTCACGAGTGATTTTCATTGCGTTTCTTTAATTTACCTTCAGCTCCACGCAATTGTTAAATTGTGTTTTGTCGACATTTGAGGAATATCGACAAAGTTTCTCTCACATTTGTAATGAAAACGCAGCTACTGATTAACCTAACTAAAGAGAGCTCTAACAGCATCATGCAGCTCTTAAAAAGTTTTGTCATTAGAACTTGTTGAATCTACTACTTTTCTGTAAAATCACCGGCTACAATTACCCCAAAACGTAGCTGCTTCCTGGTATAAGAGACTTGTCGCTCCAACGCCTGAATAAGACGACCATCTATCTGATGGCTGAATTATAAATACATTTAATGTAACTGTTTACATCTGTCACTGCCATGATTTTTATTGACTTATCGCATGAACAAGCTTTTTTACGTGATTTTAATTTCGTTTCTTATTTATTGGAAACACCTTAATTGTGAAATTGTGTTTTTACGACATTAGCAGAATATAGAGAAAGATTTATGCACCTTTGTAACGGAAACGTAACTAACATGGTTTCTCTCTGTAAAACTTACCCGGTTTGGGGCTGAGCCTTTTGCAACCTGGGGAGGGATCACCCGGGGTCTCACACTTCATCTCCTCTCTGACAGACTTAGTCTCGTCCTCCTTATCGGTGGCGTTGTCCTCTGTTGCCGAGTCGCTGCCCGAATGCTCTGCGGAGGTCACGTTCAGCTCCATGTCCAGAGGAACGTGGCGGACCAGAGGAAGGTCTGTTTCCAGGGAGGAGGAGGAGGGAGAGGAGGATGATGGTGGGACCTGGGTGTCAGGAAGGATGGTGGCAGGAGGAGGAGCTTCCTCCTTCTCACTTCCTCCTTCCCCGGACACATCCTTCTGCTTCTGAAGCTGCTCCTTCTGCAGGCTGCGCTGCTTCTTCCGGAACTTTGCTCTGCGGTTTTTGAACCAAACCTGAAAGTTAAGACAGGACAAGATTTGACACAAGAACAACCCAGAGCATCCTCTTCATGAGACTGACTTAGAAAAACACAGTGTCTTCAGTCAGAGGCTTCTTCAAATTCACTGTAATACAGACCACTACAGGAGATCTTTCCTGCCCACACTATTTACAGCTAACACTATTTACAATAACTCTGAAGAATATTGAACTAATATGATTTACAACAAAATTTAATTTCTCTTTGGGATCAATGTGAAATGACAATAGAACTTAACAGAGATTATTCTATTTGACAAACATTTTCAATGTATGTGAAATTTATGACGGATATATTTTCTTCTTTTAATTTTCACAGATTTTTTTTTTTCCATGTAAACCATCCTGAACAGATTTTATTTAGTTTTCTATCACAAGAATCCATCTTTGAGACAGTTGAATTTCAAGCCAGTATTCACCTAAAAATTCTTATTTAAAAAAAATCCACCACATAAACAAGCTCAGTAAGATCCCTCAAATTCTTAAATATTTACTATAAGTTCTAAACCTGGGGTGTCCAAGCTTTTTGTCTGCTGGGCCAAAATTGTCAAGTGAAAAGAACTTATATTTTTAATAAAAACTTATACTGTAGTACATTCCAACTTGATAATGTTCTAAACAAATGAAGTAGCCATTCGTTTGTTTGGAAAGAGATGTGTAAACTATTGTAGAGCCAAAACTTAAGGGTTTTGCAAATTTTCCACATTAAGGAAAAGATTTGTCAGGTCCTGAAAAAATAGTAAAAATGTTGTCAGTTTGGAACGAGGCAGGATTTAGGTCACTCTGGATTAGAACTGGATAGATTTTGCCCTTTCAAAAAAAAAATGCAAAAAGTGTGCTTATGTAAAATAGAATACTTTGCATTTTAATAAGATCTCATATTTGTCTGTAATCTCTCTGAAGATAGAAACTTTTAAAAATAAAAAGTTTCTATCTTCATCAAGTATCTGTGCTGAATGTTGTAAACACTAAATTCCTGAGGTCATTTTTGCCTACCTGCACCCGGGCCTCCGGCAGGTTGGTGCACATGGCGAGGCGCTCCCTCATCACCACATCCGGGTAGTGGGTCTTCTGGAACGTCTTCTCCAGAGCCTCCAGCTGCTGAGCGGTGAAAGCTGTGCGGCTCCGGCGCTGTTTGCGGTGCTGTGAGCCGTAGCGAGCCTCCAAGATGATGTCTTGAAACGTGCAGCCGTTGGAAGAAAAAACAAAAAAGGGGGCACGTTTTATTTCACTGTCCTCAGATGGCAGATGGTGTAGTTTGTCCAGAGGTTGGAGAAAGTTTGATTTCTTGGTGCAAAATAGCACAGGAACCATGAGCAAATTACACTATGAATGTGTTTTTTCTCATAGAATGAATTACATTTTTAAATCAGGAATTTCACACTGAGTTAGAGATGATAATGCATATTCTGGTATTGATCTGATACCAAGTAAATAGTACTGATAAACACTGACTTTTTAAATTTAAGTTTGACATATCAAACTTCTGACCTTTCATTTTTTTTCTTTTTTTTTGTTGATTTATTCTGTTAAAATCTGGGACATAATTTGAATAAAGTTTATAGCTATCTATAAAATACTTATATAACATGATATCATAAACAATATATAGATAAACTATCAAAATCAAACAAATTTGTATGGATTTTTTTCTAAGCAATGTGCACAATAATTATAATTTAAATGAAACAAAACAAAAACTTTTTTGAGGTAGACTAGAGAAACTACAAAATAGAAATAAAATCAGGAGAGAATCTGAAACTAAAATATCGATCTTACCATGCTGGTATCAATCCAATACTGATATTGATATTTTGCAATGATATGTCTACTTCTTTATGTAATACTTTAATTACATATCTATTCAGTAACAGTAAGTTTGCATTTATGTCTTATGTCTATAGTATACTCAATAAAATTTTTATAGCCATCAACATGATTATTTATTTATTTATTTATTTATTTATTTATTTATTTATTTATTTTGGCCACATTTAAGACAACTGTGTTTAAACACTGACTGTCACACACTCTGTGTGAGGTGAATGTGTGAGTGAGTGTGTGAGCAAGCGCTCAATTACCAGCTAGTCTTTCGGCCAGTGTGAGCGCGTGCACGGAGGGCCGGTAGTCGGGCGCGTGCTGCGCCTGTTGAGCGGCCTGCTGGTGCAGGTTGTACATGGCGCTCAGGGAGTTCATGGCGTGCAGAGAGTAGCCGTTCACCCCGTAGTGCTGCATGATGAGAGGTCGGCACCTGCGGAGCGCAGCAGAGCAGAAGAGGAGAAGAGAGGGCGGCTGTGAGTTTTCCTGATGAGGCAAATGGCAACAGAAAGAAGCTGCGCTTTGGACGCACTGCGGTTGTTCCAGAGAGGAGGGGATCCCGGGCTTTAACTGTGCGAGCTTTTTATTATAGCTAAATGACAGCAAGGGCTCCGGGGGCCAACACATTTTATCGTGCGCACTCAGACTAAAATGTTATCCATTAACATCCAATTATCGCTCTGTTCAATTCATTAATTATACAAAAGACTTTTAATTGGGGTAATTATAGCTCGTTCCAGTAATGAACCGTGACGGATGCTTTATTCATGAACGTATTCAGCCGTTCTCCGAGAGGCCTAAATCCTCACTGAGAGCGGTACACTGACAGATCAAGGCAGTGATGAAATGTGTTGGGAAATAATAAAAGGTGATTGGTTCCGCGTCTCGGCTGTAGAACCCGCTAACCAAACCATTTCATATCAGACTGAGATCAGATGTCAGCTTTCTAAAATTTAACTAAAAATAACTCAATTTATTGGTCAATGTTATTCTTCAAATAAAATATTAATGAAGAGGCCACATGAAGAATATATTAATATTTCCCGGTGTATGACAATTGTTTTTATTTATTTACTTTTTTTTGAAAGTTCAATCCAGCGTTTATTTGGTCTTGAAGCTTCAACCTTATTCGCAACTACACGTCGATAAGGTGCAAATCAAAAATATATAAACAGCTACTTTTATTAAAATTAGCCATTTCAAGTGGATTTTGTTTTTACTTGACATGCCACCAAACAAGTTCTAAATTATTCATTGATTTGTTGGTGAATTTAAACAAAAAATAGTCACGATTTCAACTTCTTAACTGGTGCTCGCGTTGAGAAAAATCTTCTGTGATACATTTGTTTAGATCTATCAGTTTGCAGTTAATTTGAGCAAATGTATTACAGAAGATTTTTCATCTGTTCTCAACACACTTAATGGTTTATTGTAACTGAGCTGAACATTAAATAAATGTTTTCTTTATCGGGACTGGAAATGATTTTATTGCGGAGTGAAAAAAAAATGAAATAAAATGAACATTAATAATAATAATAATAATTCAGTTAAGTTAAATCTAAAATGTAATATTGGACATTGGTTTTTCAGGAGTTTATTAAGTTTTAGTAGCTCTGTGCACGTGTGCGCGCCTGTGTGCGTGTGCACGTGTTGCCTGCAGTGCCCATTCCCAGCCTATTAAGTGGCTGCGGCGGCTGATGAATGTGATCAGAGGGCAGTGGGGAATAGTTTAATTCGCCGGGACAGAAGGTGCTTCGCTAAACATTTACTTTGCTCCCTGAAGTATTCCAGTTGAATGCCCGCACCCCCTCCCTGCCTCCGCCGTCCCCTCCCGCCGCTCTCTGGCGGCCTCTTATCCCACCGCCCTGGGGCAACGTTTTGGCTGAGATGTATGGCTTCTCCGCGGGTAAAAAAAAAAAAAAAAAAAAAATATGCATGTTGATCCCCATTTGGCTCCCCGTCTAATGGAAGTGCAAATAGGTTTCGACTGCGGGGCCCTCCATTTATCATCAACGCTGACGCGGACGGACGCGCGGCCGGGCCGACAGCGACCGATTGCTTGCTGCGCTTCAGAGCGCGCGTGCGTTCTTCGTGCAGGGTGATGGGCACGCACTTCCTCTCAGGTGCTTTTATCTTCTTATCAATTCAAACCCGCTTCTCGAAATGGAGCAATTATAACTGCGAAAAGATTCTGTTTTCACCTGCAAGGCCCACTCAAAGTTCACGTAAGAAAATCGTAATTAAGCTAAAAATAATTACTTTAACTGTTTTGGGGCCTTTAAACTGTCCCATAATCACTGACAGCTTCGCTCGTCCAAAACAAATTCTGCACAATAGCTGTCAGGGTCGTTATTGTCATTCATAACCCGCTCCGAGCTTCAGGCGCTGACTTGGGCCCTGCTCCCGGCTGGCTTCCTCAACGCTTCCATTATCAAACCGTCATTATGGAAATTTGCCTCGTACAGTGATACTCTTTGATCCGACCAAATTAGGAAAAATGTTATTTGCTATATCCTCTCTCGGGGGCACGAGGCGACCCGACGATCCGTTTGTGTTTTTTTTTTGTTTTTTTTGCTACGTCATGCAGTGTAAACTGTCAGCGCGAGGGATTCCTATTTAATTTGAACAGTCCAGCTGGAATGGTTACGAGTACTGTTATTATGATGCTTTTTACGCAGAGCCAAAATTTCTATTTGAAATTGTTGTGATGTCAGTGTCAAACTAAAGTAAGAGAGTGTTTCTTTAACCTGTAGAGAGTTAAATATAACTTTACAGACTGGCCGGTAATCAGCACGTAGACATGAAATACTCGATGCATGCCTGCAGAAATTTTGCATTGACTCTTAACCTTACTATAGAAAATATGGTCATAAATACTAGTTGACATTTTTAATTATTGACACCGTAGTTTTTGCTGTTAATTTTCAGGTCTAGGTCAGGGCAATGGCTCAGTTTCAATTTGTTCCTCCAAAATAAAAATGAAGAATAAATATTCTTTATTAAAATATGTCTTTTGACATATTTCAGAGTAGTCTCCCATTAAGCTGCAACTTAAGTGAGATCATGCACCAATAAAAAATAAATAAATAAAAATGTTTAATTTATTTATGAAACGCTAATTCAACAATATATGTGACTTAAAGGAAAAATTCAAGTTAAACAGGCTCAATTATAAAAATTTACATCGAATCATAGTCAAACAAATATACTCAAATTACAAAGGTATGTTGCAGGTTCAGTTATACGCAGCACAGTCCGATCATAATTAGCATGAAGAAACCACAGATTTAGTTCATGTTGGTAGTTGGTGAAAAATTTTCTAAAGACTCTGCATCTGTAGCCTAATATTAATTTCAGTTTTTTTTATCCATGCAATAACTTTCTTTAGTTTTTTTTTGTTTTTTGTTTTTTTTTTTTATGAAAACGACTTTAAGAAGAATCTGAGGCTACCTAGCAAAAGGTCAAATAGTAAACGACGATAATAATAAATACATAAATAAATAAATACGGTAAATAAATGAAACTTAGCTACCTTTAATTGAAACGGCTCCTTCTTTTCTGTCCCCTTCTCCTCGGACAGTCACTCCAGCTTCCAGAACTCGGTGTTTCTCCGGTTTCCGTTCTGTATTTACCACCTATATATCGTGTTCGGTTCCTACAACCGGGTCAGACTCCGTTCGGCTGCTTCACCTCAAGTCAAACTCGCTCGCGCGCGCTCCGCGGTACCACTGTGATCTCTAGCTGCTGTGGGAAACCGCCATCTGCTGGTGCTCGAGACATCCCTGCGGAGGCATTTTTAAGGAGAGCAACACGGGGGTCGTCCAGGCTTTTGATTGGCTCCGCGTTCTGTCAGTTGCGTGAAGCTGACGTCCATGAGTTATTTTCAAACGTGATAAGTTTTGGCACATTATCTTTACTAAGATCCTCCTCCTCCACTTTAACTGTTATGTCATTTTTTTTAAGCTGATAAACAACTCTGAAAATGCTACCTTAATTTATTTGGCCGCTAAATCTGAATAAAACTGATTATTTATTTAAACTAAAATGTAAATAATTGGTGAATGGGTCAAAAAAAAAAATCTCAAGTTTACCCCTATAAGCTATTCCCATGAATATGAAGAGTCCTCCCTCTATTTCGGAGGAGAAAAACAAGCACCTTATAGTCTGTTTGCTTTTCGGCTTTTCCCTGCATGCCTCTGGAGGACAGAGACAGAGATGGCCCATAGATGCCAGGGCGCTGCCTTTACACTCTTTGCCGGGACTGGGAGGATTTTGGGATGGGGTAGGAAAGACAAGACGCCATCTCAGCCTTAAAAAAAAAGGAAAAGAAAAACCCTGTCTTGAAATGACTGCGGGTAAGAGGATTAAGGCAATAATGCCCTTCTCTTCTTGAAGGGTATTTTAGAGAGGATTTCTTCTCCCGGAGAAAAACCGTTTAGGTAGGGAATTAAGGGCAGCGCAGTAGCCTTTCAATGTAAAGCTTGCATATTTTGTTGAGATCTTCCCTGAGAACATGCATGGCCTATAGTTACTTTAATTTTTTTAGCAGCAGTAGGTGAAATGTTTATTTGAAAATATGTTAATATTTAAGCAAAGATGTCCATGAGATTTGTCTTTTCTTGTGTTACAATAAAACGGGGCTGAAATAGTGAATACATTATTTTAAAAAAAAATTGAATAAAACATAATTTGGTTAGTAAGTTTAACAAGTTTTATTTATATTATCTCATTTTTTCAGTTTATCAAGTTTAAATTATAATTTTTTTAAATAAATATTGTTTTACCTAAATATTTAAATGGGGAGAATTTTAAACTTAATTTGTTTAAAATGTCTGGTATAAAGTAGAGTAAAATCTAAAATAAGAATTAATAGTCGTGTTTATAAATGATAACAAGTGTACAAAAACTTTCTACCGAGGTTTAATTTGAAATTATTTACAATTTGGTCTATGTGCGCTTCAAAGTGGGGGGGAGATCAGGAAAAAAAGAAAAAAAAACTCGTGCGCCTCTCTAGTTCTGTCGCTTCGGTATTGGGCTTCTATCACTCGGGTTTTCTCCGAGCTCTGAGAGAGAAAGAGGATTAACTTGTGAACCAATGGAAATAAGAACTTAAACGGGAGGTAAATCTGGCCACTGTCTCTTTGTGAGCACCGTCTCTAAAGCAATTAAAGCGAGAAAGAGTTTCTTCTCAGCGCCTCTCCACCTAAAGCTCCTTAGAGCGACCAGAGCTGTCCAGCGCATCTGATGGGCTTATGGGACGCCACTGCCCCCCCTTCCCCCTCCTCCCCCACCGGCCCCCAACCCCACCAACCCCCTTCACTGCCTAACGCAATGTGGACACACAACACTTTTATAATAACAACAAAAAAAGTAATGCACAGAAATTCCCAAATTACAAATCAGCTAATGAACAGTGAAGGCCTCACAGGCAGACATAATCAATAAAAACAAGCAATGATTTGAGCTATAATGCAAAAAAAATATATATATGTATTTGTACTTATTTGCACGTGCCAATATGTAACAATCCCACTTGTTTAGAATATTTCTTACTATTGCATTCTGCACCTCCAATACCTAATTAATGCTGCTAATGACGCTTTCTGCTACTTCATTAATATATCAGGCGGCAGGCCACAGCCTCCACTGTACCATTCAAGGGTATTCCGGCATCTGTTCATCCCACAGCAATTAATCATTGTGATTTGTGCTTTAAAATGGACTTCTTGCAGGGAGGACCTTTTTGACAAGAATAACAAAGCAATTTTGCCAGCAGGCACCTCTCAGACACCTTATTAGCAGCACACCTCCACAGTAAGACCTGCTCCCCTTGTTCTTTTTTTCCTCTCAAATCCAGCCTATTATAGAAATGAATTTTTAAGACACAGCAGCAATGTTATGGTTTTATTGTCAGCAGCGTGCCTCTGAGTCCTCCTGAAATCCCTTTTTATTGGTGACAAGATCTCGGAATCTCGTCAGCAAATCCCTCCTCTAAAAGTTTTCAACCTGTCAGTTTCCTGGAAAAGCTGGATAATTCCCCCCCCCCCCCCTCCTCTTTTTTTCCATCTCCCTTCATCCCCTTCTCTCTTTCTCTCTTCCCTCTTTTCTGCCTTGTCTCAATCCCTCTGTCTCGTTTCTTTTTCCTTGCCTTCCCTGCTCTCGGTCTTTTTCTCTCTCTGGCCCGGATCCCTCTGCACAAGGGCCCCCATTGTATAGTCTTAATCCAGAGGCAACACAGCTTTAGGGACATGCAGGGATAAAAGGCCCATCAAGCCCACAACTTTATGGGGGCAAATCTCTCCCTAATCCTTCGCTTTATCTAAACAAAAGCCCCTCTGCCCTAATCCACCTATATGCGTTTGAAAAAAAAGAGAGGAAAAAGCAACGAGAGTGGCACAGAAAGGAGAGGAGGAAAGAGAGAAAACAAGAGATTGTCAGAAGGGGAAAAAATCTCACACTCTCGGATCAACCTGGAGAGATCATCATGGGAAGGTCAGGATTTTTTGGAAGAGAGAAGCTCCGCTGATGGGTGCTCACCTGCAGATGTTTGAAGTGTGCTGACCTCTGACTTGAAAGCAGATTTTAATCGAATTCTCTATTCATGAACACGTTGGCAGTCGTTGCATTGACATCATCCTGCAGGACACCTGATTCTGAGATCAAAACAGAGTTTCAAGTTATCGGTAATGGCTAGTTCAGTTCAAGTTTGACCCATCTAAATTTACTGTTTCGTGAGAAGAGAAAGAAAAGAAATATGTCATTTACTGTCCCACAGTGGGGAAAGTTAAGTATACATATTCAAACAAAGAAACAGACAAATAAGAATAGGAGACTGTACATTAAGGGCAAATTTATGTAAATAGGAAATAGGCACTGTTCATGTTTGTTCAAGATGACCCTTTCACCAAAAGAAAAGTACAGGAAATGCCATTTTTCCTGTTGTCACAGTTAAAATAAAGTTTGATTTATATGAAACATTGTTTTTAACAATCTCTTTACAGTGTGGTCAATATTTTTACATAGACAGGACATATTTTTGAATAGATAATGTTGAGATTGAGGTTGTATTTTATTACAGCTTTCACGCTGTTTTCATTGCCTCGACATGCGGATAAGAAACTTATTTCCAAGTTGTGGGGTCAAACCCTGGTCATCTGCATGGAACATTAATATTGTCCATATTTGTGGTGCCTGTTCTCCCACTGCCAGAAACATTTTTATCCCAGTGCTTGTGCTGTCCCCAGACAGAATGCCTCCCTGTGCAAAAACCGCTATCACCAAATCAAAAAATCACCTCTGCCAAAATGCATATTTATACCACATGCTAATATAGTGAAAATAATATTTGAAATATGTTTAAATGGACAATGACAGGTTTTAGAATGGTGCTGAAAAAGGTTTTTATCTATAGAACAAAACAACCCAAAACTTCCCTGAGAATTTGTCCAAGTGCAGAATTGTTAAAAACAAAATAATTAACCCTTCTGTTATGATTCGGGTCAAATTGACCCATTTTAAAGTTTATTTTTTTAAATAGTTGGAAGTATTTTTTTTTTGCATGAAACTTTTTCTATTTGTCTTAATAGGTGAACTCTAAATATTAATTGAAAATGTATTCATTTTAGACATTTGCAACCCTCCCTGCATCTACTTGTTACATCGATACTGTTTGGGTCAATTTGACCCGACAGTCAAGTTAAAGTGCAAAAAATGATTAAAAATATCCAATTCTATATGTTTCCTTGCAGCTATGAACATTATTTCACCACACACACACACACACACACACACACACACACACACACACAAACACACCACACACACACATGCACACGCAGACGTACACAGGGCCACTTTCTCCCTACTCTCTTTACTTCACTATGAACTGCGAGAAAGCAGGTGTTCATATAACTTTTGACAGGAACCTTTTCTGTTCCCGTGGGCAAACTCCACCCACACTGAGTGGACACTCAGTAGAAGTGGAGGAAAACATAAATACTCTCTGCATGACTCATTTATCTTGATTTTAATTGGCGGGTCAATTTGACCCTGAGCAGTATGTGTGTCTCAAGCTCAATTATAAAGATCACCCATTGGGAAAAAAAAAATAATTAATATAAAAAAATGTACCAAAAATCAATTTCAAGGAAATTATCGTTTTTTTGTATCTAGATTTTTTTCAGTGGACATAAAAATGCAAATTCCATTTTTTATGTCCAAATGAGTAATTGAGTAAGTTGTCGTTATTAATCCTTAATTTCTGAGAAATAAAAATTATTGCACAAATATTGATTGATAGGGTTAGTATTGGAGTTAATAATCAGATACAAAAATATTTTGGGGGAATTTTTTGGTTTCTGACGCAATTGCATGATAAAACACTCCCCGGGTCAAATTAACCCACAAACATTATTGCTGTACCTCAGAAACAAACATAATAGGAGGGTTAAGACACTTCAAATTTCTCCTCTATGATTTTGTTCCTATACAAAAAAAAACTCTAAAGAAGAATTGTTTTAAACTCTGATGACTAAGAAAATGTAACGAAACTCATTGATCTCTGATGTGTAGCAGAGAACAGTGACGCATGATTAATCTGGATGGGTTGATATTTTTATATTTAAATAAAGACCAGAAAGTTTTTTTAGGTATATGCACACAATAAATAATTTTCTTTTGTTTGTTGTTAATAAATAGCAAAAAGAGAATTGGAGCTAGGTTTGATTTCTAATTATTCTGTTTGAATTAGACATTGGGCAGTTTTCCAAGCTATTTAGCATATTCAATAAATTAGAATATGTAATCTGATGAAGCTTGTTTGTCAGATTAAAAGTGACTTTTGTCATTTTTAAGGAGGTATTACAAATACTATTCAATGATCCCACATTTTTGTA